AGAAGGATTTTTTTTCTTTAGATTTAAAATCATAAATTAAAAAAATTAAAGTTCGAACAGTGAAATTCAATCTGTAAGTTAGTGGGTTAGTGTCGGTGTTTTTAGGTGTCCATGATATTACACTGAACAAAATAAGTATGAATTCTGCCACTTACTATTTTTTAATTTAACACTTTGACAATATATTTAAATGTAAAATTAACCTCGATGTAAATGTGAAATTAAAATCTACGTAGACGAGCCCAGGTTTATGTTTTCTGAGTACTGAATGTGGTTGTTTGTGTTTTTTCTTCTTCACTGCTATTAGTTCCTTGTGAAAATTCATGCGCTCCAAAATACTGAACTGTGGTGTTATTACTCAAAACAACGCCAGAGGCAAGACTGGAATAAAACAAACAAAATAAAATAAAAAATTTAAAAAAACAAAAACAAAAAACAACAAAAAAAGAAAAAAACAGACAGACATCAGCAGTGAGAAGTGACATTCAGGAGAGTAAAGACGAGAGACAGAGAAGGACAGAAACTCAAACACAGCGGAAAGAAAGAAAGAAAGAAAGAAAGAAAGAAAGAAAGAAAGGAAGGAGGTTAATGACACACACTATCAGCGCAGAAAGAATCCGTGAGGTCTTTCTGTCCAAACAGGCAGTGTGTTTATTTTTATTATTTTTTTTTTTTAATTCTACAAGCTCTACGGTTAGTGGGAATGGGAAAAGGAAAAATAAATAAATAAATAAATAAAAAGAGAAGCAACATCTGGGTTAGATAAAGAAAAGCACAGAAGGTGCATGAGGCAGGGCAATACCAACCTTTTCACAGCAGTAATTCAACCTACATATTCCAAACACAATATAGGAGGGCAAATGTGTGAGCCAAAAATAGAGAGGCCAAAAAAAGGTGACTGAAAAAAAAAGAAAAAAAGAAAAAAATGAGGTAAACGGCGCCTTGTTGCTGTCGTGATTAAAAAAAAAAAAAAACATTAATATCCTCCACGGGGAAGAAAGAAGAAGAAGAATATCCAGATTCACAAATCTATTGCGAGGAGTTCGAGTTCAAAAATTCAAAAAATTATCCTGATTTGGAGATGAGGAGAATTTAAAAAAAAATAAAATAAAAAATCCTGGATTAAAAAATAATGAAAAGTTATAGCCGATATCCACGTTCTGGTCAGAAGTAATCCCATCATCATCGGTTTCAGGGCAGGATGAAACCGCTTCTTCAAATAACCAAAAAGAGGATTTCTGTCTGAAAACAAAAAATAAAACAAAACAAAAAGAAAAAAAAAAAACAGTAATCCCAGTCTGTGGTTGCAGATTCCTTCCATCAGATTTTTGGGAATTGGACAGACTCTGGGATATTCCTTTATTTTAAACCAGCACGTGTTCAGTAGAAATCCTCGGCTTTGTCCGTGCTTCTAAAGTCCGCTTGATTCAGACTCGGGTACATCCACATTTACGCTGAAGTTAAATCCAAACTCGGGTTGCGGTCCAACACCGTACATCCCAGAAATTTTTTTTAAAAAAGCATTAAAATATAGGGTTAGATCCGTGACTAAAAGTTTCTTCGCTTATCCAATCTGGACGTCTTCTGAGTTTCGATCTTCGAGCGCCGCGTTAGTCCGGTCTCGCGTCTCGTTCCAGCCCTAAACGTGACTATCGGGTGGAAAAAGGATGGAAAATGAAAGCACTGACAGCGTTAGCGCGTAACTCCACACGGACCCGCGGAAAGGTCACACCATCGCCTCACCTTTCGCGCGACTTCTCTCCGATCCGAAGGCGCGATTTTTTTTTTTTTTTTGGACTCGTCCTAAATCCAAATCGGTGTG